AGAGGTTCAGTGCTCAGAATATTGGATCGTAGGCTGCCATAGCCTTCATTGTCTAGCCCCATCAAAAACTGATGGACCTTCTCTTCGTCTCGTTGTTTCTCCAATTGTGCTGTCAATCCGCACTTGCATCCTCCACACTTGCACGCCGGTACCTTCAACAGCTCATACAGTTCGTCCCATATCGTCTTCAATTTTCCGTAGTGTTTCACGATCTCTGGACCGTTTTGTCTGCAATTAGCCAATTCCTTCTTCAACTGATGGATTCGGGGGCCGTTTGCTATGGAGAATCTGGCCTTAATATCGTTCCATAGGTCGGCCGCGATCTCTACCTGAGTGATAGAGTTGCGCAGGTCTGCTTCTATTGTGTTGTAGATCCATGACACGAGCATGGCGTTCACGATCCACCATTCTTCTGTTTCTGTATCGTCCTCCGGGCATGGAATTGATCCATCAATTAAACCAAACTTCCGTTTGGCGCGAAGAGCTATTCTCATAGCTCTTGCCCATTCCTCATAGTTTCTTCTGTTAAGTTTTACCTGTGTAATCAACAGGCCCGGCGTATCCACTGATTTTAGATCATATGGACTCGCCTTTATTCTTTGCTCTTCGTTATCTGCGACAACGACTTTCTTTGACGTAACCTCCGCGAGTTTGGGGTTCGGTTCCACCATCTTCCTTTCCTGATCTTTAGAATTAGGTTAGGAGGTCCAAAGAATCATGCTCTGATACCATGTAGAAATTATAGAAGAGAATTGTATTCAATATATGTTTGTTTACAATAGCCTTCCCTTGCTTATATAGAGAAGGAAGACTCCAAATCCTAGTAGGAATAAAAGAACATAAACAAGGAAACCTAAACAACTTAGGTAACAAACATAAAATAGGAAACCAATTCCCAATCCAAGTCTTGCGCCATACGTGACCTGCGGCTTCTCCATACGTAACATGTTACGTATGGAGANCGTATGGCGCAAGACTTGGATTGGGAATTGGTTTCCTATTTTATGTTTGTTACCTAAGTTGTTTAGGTTTCCTTGTTTATGTTCTTTTATTCCTACTAGGATTTGGAGTCTTCCTTCTCTATATAAGCAAGGGAAGGCTATTGTAAACAAACATATATTAAATACAATTCTCTTCTATAATTTCTACAGAATTTGCTGACATGGCATGGCAAGGCAAGGCATTGCCTTGCCATTGTGAATGCTCTTAGTTTTAAAAATGTGAGGTACCCGGTAGTTATTTTCTCAAAATAGAGGGTACCCAAGAGCAGTTTTTTGTTATTAGTGTATTACTATTCCCTGCTATTTATATTGCATATTTCAATTTAGAATGTTTAATTAAAAATATTTTAAAATCATTTTATATGAAATAGTGTAGAATTAAAAAAATAAAAATTACATATTAAAATATTACAACAAAAGATCTACAAAATTTATGGTGACATGACTATTTTATTTTACCAAAGTTTGACTGTGTTGTAACCAAACAATTTAATTTAGGAGGGAGGGAGTATCACTTAAAGGTTGCTTTAGGTCACTTAGCCATGTATCATGCATTATTTAACTACATGCACAAATGCACAATACCGCTAAAATGATGCATCAGCACATAGAAAATATGAACTTTTTACTTGTGTTTAGAGCAGAGGTCGACCTCTGCTGTCTCTTTTCTGTCTCATAATAGAGACTAAATTGGGACGGAACTCCCGTCTCTTTGAGGCTCACATTCTTGTAGTGGTCCATGCAGAATTTTTTTTTAAATCATTGTTGAATATGTCTATGACCATGGCGTAAAAGTGATTGTAGTTACATGCGTCTATTTTTCCAACCTTTGTTCAATGGACATCTCTTTTTTGTAGTATAACTGTAAATATATTTTTGTGTTTTGAAGTGCCTAATCGTGAAAATCACATAATGCATTTGAGGTGTTGAAATGATGCATATTTGGGTTTTATTTATTTACTACTTCTAATAATGAGATTGACTTCTTTATGTCCCACTTACAGAAGCTTAGACAAGTTCAACGTGTTTTTTATATTGCACTTTAAGAAGTGTCATGATGCATTCTTAATCCTCATAATCGAACAACTAGCATTTTAACCCATCAAAGTAGATATTCCCATAATCCCATGGGATAACAAGTTAATTTTAAAAATAATCCATATTCGAGATAAAACTTAAGGTTTTAAGCACATAAAAAACAAATTCCAACCTATAAACAAAAAACATATCCCTTTTAGCTCACAATATCCTCAAAAACAAATGAAAACCATCACAACAATTGTGGAGTTATTTTCTTAACGAAATACTCTGTACTACTCTAATAATAATGATTTACTATATTAATGCATTCAAAAAAGTTATGCTTTTATTGCGTAAATAAAACAAAGAGCTAGCCCATCGATATCTATTACCCCGAACGAACTTACTCCCTCCGTCCCTAAATATTTGTCACACTTTCCTTTTTCATCCGTCCCAAAAAATTCACCACATTTCTAATAATGGAAAGTGAATTTTTATGTTAAGACTATTATACCCCTGGTTTTTAAATTCCTTACGTTCAGAATCCTTATCCGGATGACATTCTCACCACACTCTTCGTCTTCTCCACGAGTCCACCATCTGATCTCTCATCTTCACTCTTCGTCTTCTCCATAATCTCTTCTTCTCCGCCACATTCTCAAATTCCTCTCCGCCACAATCTTTGTCTTCTCCACTCCCTAATCTATGGGTAATCCAGATCCCTCATATCCCAATTTTAATCTGTTGATAGAGGAATCACCCTCGCGAGGTAGATTCCCCCAAACTGGTGGATCTGGACGAGGATTGAAGCGTCGCTATCCTACTCCTTCAACCTCTACTTCTGATACAGACCTAACCTGGAAGTATCGTAAGAAGTACGGGGATGTGGCGATGTTTGATGAATCAGATCTGGAATTTGAGAGCGAAGAAGGGGAATCCGAAGAGGTGACATCTGACTATGATCATAGACCATTGGTCTGCACAGATTATGCTTTGATGGTGAACCCTCCACCAATACCCTTTGATCTGCCTTCCTGTGGTAAGACCTCTCCTCAATTACTTCGTTTTTGAATGGATTGTCTCTGCATGTTATGGTAATTCACTCTCTTAACTAATGATGAAGGGGGAGATTAAATTTCAACATTTTTAGTGAGGCCATCACATCTCGATATGTGCCATCTGTGAAATCAATTTATGTAATTGGTTGTCTACTCGTGTGGCCCGAGGTGTATAATGCCCAGATTTTGGAGTTTGTGATGAGTTGAATATAGAGTTGAATATATGACACCTATGTCTTGCCATTCATTCCTTATGTGAAATGTTACCTAGTGTGACTACTATGTGGTCTGTGATGACTTTAAAATCTATGACCTATGTGTTGCCATTCATTCCTTATGTGAAATGATGCCCAATATGTGATCCCTAATGTTTGTTGCCTAGTGTGTCTGGTCTGTGGTGGTCTGTGGTCTGTGATGACTTTAAAATCTGAGACCAAATTGTTGCCATTCATTCCTTATGTCAAATGCTGCCCAGTATATGATCCCTAATGTTTGTTGCCTAGTGTGCCTGGTCTGTGGTGGTCTATGGTCTGTGATGACTTTAAAATCTGAGACCAAACTGTTGCCATTCATTTCTTATGTCAAATATACTGCCCAGTATGTGATCCCTAATGTTTGTTGCCTAGTGTGCTGTGGTGGTATGTGGTCTGTGATGACTTTAAAATCTGAGACCAAACTGTTGCCATTCATTCCTTATGTCAAATATAAAGCCCAGTATGTGATCCCTAATGTTTGTTGCCTAGTGTGTTTGGTCTGTGGTCTGTGGTCTGTGATGACTTTAAAATCTGAGACCAAACTGTTGCCATTCATTCCTTATGTCAAATGTACTGCCCAGTATGTGATCCCTAATGTTTTTTGCCTAGTGTGCTGTGGTGGTATGTGGTCTGTGATGACTTTAAAATCTGAGACCAAAATGTTGCCATTCATTCCTTATGTCAAATATACTGCCCAGTATGTGATCCCTAATGTTTGTTTCCTAGTGTGCCTGGTCTGTGGTGGTCTGTGGTCTGTGATGACTTTAAAATTTGAGACCAAACTGTTGCCATTCATTCCTTATGTCAAATATACTGCCCAGTATGTGATCCCTAATGTTTGTTGCCTAGTGTGCCTGGTCTTTGGTGGTCTGTGATGACTTTAAAATCTGAGACCAAACTGTTGCCATTCATTTCTTATGTCAAATATACTGCCCAGTATGTAATCCCTAATGTTTGTTGCCTAGTGTGCCTGGTCTGTGGTTGTTTGTGGTCTGTGATGCCTTTAAAATCTGAGACCAAACTGTTGCCATTTATTCCTTATGTCAAATATACTGCCCAGTATGTGATCCCTAATGTTTGTTGCCTAGTGTGCCTGTTCTGTGGTGGTCTGTGGTCTGTGATGACTTTAAAATCTGAGACCAAACTGTTGCCATTCATTCCTTATGTCAAATATACTTATACATTTATAGAATATATAATTTATAGGCACTTACAAAACTTGTCCCCTACAAAAAGCAAAAAAAGTACCCTCTGTACTAAATAAAAGTAAGCTTGAACTAACCCCCCCCAAATATCAGTACAAGTCCCTCCAAAAAGCAAAAAAAGTACCTTATGTACCAAATACAAGTCAAGAACTCAACAGTTCATTAGGACACGTCCCTCCAAAAAGCAAAAACTAAAACAAAGAACTTAGTTGGTAATACTAAGTCAGTTGTTACCAGGCCCCTGTTCTACTAAGAAGTTGCTGGCTGCCTCCACCACTTCCATACTCACTTGAATATTCTCAGACAGCTGATCCATCCTCTCTAGTCTGTCTTTCCTAATGTGTGGTATCTTGTAGTTGTTTCCTACTTTTTGCACTAGAATCTGTTCCATCACACATTGTAAGGTCAAGAAGACCTTATTCAATTTTTGAGGGGCTAACTCCTCAAATGCAGTCTGCACTGCATTGATCAGTTCATTTATGTTCCTTGGGACTTTTTGGTTTTTGAGATTGTCTATTGATGCAAAGAATCCTAAGTCTAGTACATTGAGATCAGGGCTGTTAGGAGGTTGGCACTTTATAGAAATGTTCCAGCCATCTTCTTGACAACTCTGGACTATGTCTGGATCATCAGGGTGACATGAGGTTTGGCATTGTCTTGTTGTATGATGACACGCTTAGCCCTTGCATCGGGCCATTTGGCCTTAACGGCAGGTATGACCTCATTTAGCATCATTCTCTTCATCACATCTCTGGTCACAAATGGAATTGGCTTTGTTACTAAAGTACCTGCAGGCCTGTTTTTACTACTCCTCTTTGCTCCTTCCTGAAATGTGAAGGGGAAACTACCCACTTTCCCATCCCAAATGCTTTCATCAGTACCCTCCAACATTGGTCTATCCACAACTGTTAGTAACATTATTTTGGGTATAAATTTTTTAGATTGAGCGGATATGTATGGATCTTCTTCATTGGGAAGTGTGTAAAAGGTACTTGTCGATCTCTTGTGATTGTTGGAACCACTTCTCATCTATGTGAACATAGTCATAAAAGTGATGAATTGTAGGGTTCATAGGTATTGTTTGGGGCATGATATGATCTAAACAGAAACATAGTCTTTTAAGCTTACCACTCTCTGTCAGCAATGGCTTGATTGCATTCGTGTGACATCGAATCTGCTTTTCTTTCAGTAGCCTGTGCACCGTGCTTTTTGATACGTTTAGTTGGTAGGCAACTACACGAATGTTTTTTCTTTTATGAAAAAGAACTTTAACCTGTTTTCCTAAATCACATGTGACTCTTTTTCTGCCCACACGAGCCCTCATTTCTTGTTCCACATTAATGGGTAAGCTTGCATTAAATTGTTGTTTTGCTTTGGTCCATAAGATGTGAACGGCCCATCTGTTAGTGTTGAACTTCGCAGCTACTTCTTTAATGACCCCCCTCTGAAGTTTACAGTCTTCTTTGGCCTTTCCCATTAGCATTGCATCTAGGCGTTTCTTTTCAGTAGCAGATAGTCTCTGCCTTGTGTTGTTCTCCTGTTGTTCCTCTTCGTTTTCGTGCACAGGTTCATCAAGCTGCCCGGTATGCACTCCACGGGAAGTTGATGTGTTTGTCATAGGTGTCGGTGGGGAAACACCCACGGCTAAACGTCCCGTCTCGCTGAATGAAGCAGTAGCTCGGATGCTAAGGCTCGGAACTGTGTCGTCAAAAGATGGATCATCGTCAAAAGACGAATCATCTCCACGTGAAGCTGGCGTCGGATCCTCATTGAGATTGAAGTCATGGGCAGTCGCAGGGGGGAGATTGAGGTCAAACACATGAAGTGTGGATGAAGATGGGTTTGAACATATGTAATCCATTATTGATTAGCATTAAATAGCCTTCTTCAATGCACACAACCCATTTATATGCTCATTGAAGAGGGTGTACTTAGGAAAAAATTGGGGGGAAACAATGTTTACTTTTGGTTGTTTTCCCTCTTTAATTTTCAACTCCACGTGAAGTGTGTGGTGTGTATGGTGATGATGTGTACAATTGATGGCCTAGTTGTAAAATTATGAGAATGATGTTGTAACGCCCTCAAACCGGCCTACTTTTAAATAAATAAATATTATTTTTTATTGAGACTCATTATTTTAAATTAATAAATATTGAGATTTCGATCTCTTTAAATGGCTTTTCAAAGCTAATGTATGTTAATATAAAAAGATGTTTTAATAACAGACCTCTCAACATTAATTAAATGAATTAATTAATGATTGGGGTGGACCCGGAAGTTTGAAAATAAAGTTCTTAGAAAAATTATTTGAACATGTCATTAAATTCGTTTTGACTGTCTGATTCCGGAAACACAAATGGATCTCAATTCAGACCCGTTTGGGGGAAAAACCGCGTATCAAATTCTACACAACAAAGTGGAATTTAGGGAGGTAACTCCCCAAATTATGAATCAGACGCCACCACCACCCATTCATTTTCTTTATCTTAATTCTCCATTATTATTCATTACTCCTCCACCATTATATTAGTCCCTTCCCCTCACCTTCTCCACCACATTTGTAACTCCCCTCACACACTCAACCCTCCCCTTTCCCTTCTCTTGTTCGGCCAACCAAGGCAGCCAGGCGAGGAGAGATTCAAGTGGGTGGACGGGGAGGTAGAGGAAGGAAGTTCACGCAAGAAGTTCGTCCGATCGTCGTGGTCGTTCAACGTTGTCAACCATTTGCTCATCACGTCTCATCGTTTCGTCAACCCCTTCATTTAGAGGTTAGTAGTTGTCCCCTCTAATTCTAGAACATTTAGTTATAATCTATGTCGTTATATTCATAGGAATATCGTACGCAACCTATGTAGAATCTATGCATGTTCGTAGGTTAGCCATCAAAACATTCACTACGTAAAAATCGTATATATTGGCCTATGAATCACTAGGAATATATTCATAAATGTTTACATTATTGTTCTAAAAGAATCAAGGCGTTAAGTTCACAAAACGGATCAAAATGAAGCAAGGGACAGTGGACTGTCTACGGGACGGTCGACCGCCGCTAAGGACGGTGGACCGTTTCCCTTGACCGTCCGTCGGCCACCACCGTAATGGTCGACCGCCGGCCGCGACGGAAGACCGGGGTGGACCGTCGGTGTTCCAGACCACCAGAACGTAGCCCACGGTTGACCGCCGGTAGGGTATGGTCGACCGTTTCCCGGGCAGATTTCTGGGTTGGTTGTAGAACGAGTCCCGTTGACCATGTTGACCCAGAATCTAATCGTTTGTCACATGAAATGTTAATCTTCATTATTTAAGTTATTTAATTGATATATTCTTGGCGTTGACCAAAGGTAAATATATCAAGCATTCATCATGTTCATTCTAGACGCATGTCCTAGGTCTATCATCATGTGCATACCGCTGTAGGGAGGTCAGGCTTCCGTGCGCCTACTAATGTGGGCCCGTCTAGGAACCTTTGGGATCCAACGAGTTTTCATCAAGTGGGCTTTGTGTACGTACATAGTAGTCAGGTTACGGCTACTACCCAGTTTTGCTAGTTCACTTAAGACATTTTCGTCGAGCCCGGCTCATTACCGGAGTGCAGGGGTGATCCTGTCAAGTGAGACTAAGCCAGGGGTGTCCCTATTAGTTTAAGTCATGCATCAAGTCATATCGTCATCATGTCACGTCAACATTCAATGTGGTTGTCATCATCATGTATGTTCCCAATCATATCCATATTCAATGTGGTTGTTATTCATTTTGTTATGTGTAATAGTACCCCATCAAGTGCAAATTGAACAGTTAGTAAACATGTGGTTTTTCGTATGTTAAAGTACAGGTATTAATATGTGTATAATCATATGGGTTATCACTTCATGTTCTTTTGTTAGATTCACTCCTCAGCTTTTGCTGAGTGTGTAGTTGTTTTGCTACACGCAGGTAGACATGACGGTACAGGTGCTAACCCTGAGGACAGTTATGATGGGAAGATGGGCGGCGCATGGACGGGTTTAATAATTATAATCATTTGAATTAATTAATGGTTTGAGCATGAACCCATCAAATGTCGTTTTACTTATTTTGGACTTATATATTTACTTCCGCTTTTACTCTACATTAATGTCACACACGTTTTGCAAATAACTTCCTATCATTTATTTCATCAATTAAACCCAACCGTTACATAATAAATAGACATTAATGCGTTTTTCTCTACGAACGTTTCTCGGACTGCCCATGTAACCCTACCGGTCCGTTGGGTCGCGGGTGAACCGGGTCCACGGAAGGTAGGTGTTACAGATGTGATGTTTACTTTAATTAAATACTCCCCCTCTCTCCCTTATTTTTTGCCTTTGCTTTTTTCTTTTGGACGGGTTGGTTGGGGGTATTCTTGGAAAAAAATTACTTTTTACCTACTTTCTAAAAGTGTATGCAAGTCAAAGTGTTCGGATTAAATAGGGACGGAGGGAGTATAAAAGAATTAAACAATGACCAAACACAATACAGTTAAGAGTTTAGTTTGATCATTTAGCTAAACATTACATCAAATTCACTTCCTTATAAATCACTCTTACAATGTCTTTCATGTCAACAAAGTGTCTTCTTCATGTTTGTATGCATCATCATCTTGTATGCCTGCATCATCTTCCTATATACTTACAGTAGCATCTTCCTCACCATCACTTTCACAAGCATAGATCTTGGCTTCGTTATCCTTATTTATTGAACATATTGAGACGTCAATACACAAACTCAGATAAAACTGAAAAAAAAATCTTCATTGGCATTCAAAAAAATGAAATCCTATACCCAAAAAATTGTCATCCATCTCACGAACTGCCATAAAATGAAAATTATTGAGACACCCATTCACAGCCTGCCCATAAATTATAATGCAAGAATAGAAAGTGAATTGTACATCCGTGAGATCGTAAGACTACATGGTATACCTTTTTCAATCATATCTGATCGTGACCCGCGATTCACGTCACAATTCTGGAAGAGTTTACAGAAAACCTTAGGTACTAAACTTAACTTTAGTACGGCATTTCATCCTCAAACTGACGGACAATCTGAAAGAACAATTCAAATTCTGGAAGATATGATGAGGGCATGTGTAATAGATTTTGGAAGCAACTGGGAACAATACTTACCACTAATGGAATTTGCTTATAACAATAGTTATCAAGCGAGTATCCAAATGGCCCCGTACGAAGCCTTGTATGGAAGACGTTGTAGAACCCCGGTATGCTGGACAGAATTAAGTGAGCAAAAGCTTGAAGGACCTGATCTCGTCCGCGAAACTGAAGAAAAGGTTCGTCTAATTAGAGAACGACTGCAAGTAGCTTCTGATCGAC